TAAAGGCCGCGTGGAAAAAGAAAAAAAAGGGAAAAAGTAAACACTATAAATCTTAGTGGGATAAAAATTTACGCCGTCTGATTCCGCGACATGACCTCGATAAGAATTTTTGCTGCCACATACACACACTTGAGGCATTTTCATATAAATAACAATAATAACAATGAAATAAAGTATATAAACGGAAAGGAAACGGTACGCAACACAGTAAAAATCTCGGACGAGGTCATAAAAGTGATAAATGTCGGTGGAACTTGTAATTTGATTTCTCGTTGTTTCCCAAAGGGCCCGAAGAATTTACCGAACCGCTAAAATATAGGCCCAGAAATAATCGAGAAGCAAAAAAAAAGCACTCAACGAGGGCGATCACCTTCAAAAGTCTGGAAATCAACGTGCTTTTTACTTACTGCCACTTCTGCAGGATTGGTCAAGCCGTGATCGTTGTTTTCACAATGCCTTAGTTAAAATGCTGTCGAAAATGTACTTACATTGCACGAGACGAAAAAAGATATCGTGGTAAAAATAGAAGAGACAGGATTGCTGTACACGCCTTAATTTACATTTTTATATATTTAATATCGTTCGATATGAATAGTTGAATTTCAGACATAATATGTTTACCATTACAGCTTTTCTGTTATACGGAAGTGGTATTGTGCACGGTAATGTTATGTAACGAGATTTGTTGTAAAAAATGTTGCTAGCGAAATTACTAGACGTTCACAATAATATAGCTAGCTGTATCCGTAGGTACACCATATCACAGTTGACATTTTTCACCGAAGGTTTTTTGATCGGTTTCATTGAATATATTATATGGCGCCTATATGTTATCCATGTATGCAATAAGTTGCTGTTTAAATAAAATTATCTGAGATTTTAACGATTTTAATATAATGACATCAGAATAAGTATAGACAATTAAATAACCGTTTATTCTGTAAACCCAATGGCCCATGTAGCCGAGGGTCTTTTTTTTCCTTACAATAATATAAAAATAAAAATATAATGACATGTATGCAAAATTATACACACACTTTTTACACTAAAAATATATATACATATATATTTTTGTTTTGTGATACATCTTTACTTTGTTGTTAAATTTACTTAATTTTACTTTATTCTAACCGGTACTCATGATTCACTTCATATTTGTATTCACCTACACAATGGCCGATTGGCGTTTATATAATAATAAATAAATAAATACACGATAATATTATATGAAGTCAAAAATGAACGGAAAAACTAATCTAATGGATGTATCTTCATCGTTTCATATCGTCGAGTGACTTTGCCAAAGTACAAAGTTTAATGATATAATTTTTTATGAACAATTTGACAAATTGTTGGACATGCTATTTTTTAGAAAAAAAATATCACAAAAGGTTTAATGTTTTAAAATTATGATTTAAAGAAACAATGTAAAATATATAATTTTAACATTGTTAAAATTCTTTACTCAGCACTTTTGTCTTTGAGAGATGTTATAGTTCATAAAAAACATATTTCACGAACTAAATCACTTTTTTTTATTTTGAAATACCTACAAAAATATAGATTAACAAAAATAACTAACCTATTCCATTGTTTGCGACAAGTTTTCCGTTCTTCATAAATATATTTAAAATCAATAAACGATGGAGTTTTATCAAAATTGAAACTATAAATGCGATTATCACTTTATGGATTTAATATTAATACATTTTTCATATTTCGCATGTTATTTATTGCCATTTCTGAATATGATATTAGTACTGGAACAAACTTCTTTTAAGAATATACTTATTAACTTATTTCATTAGAACTTAAAAACCTGTGGATGTGGTTTATTATTAATCGTATTTTATACTAAGCTGTATCAGTTTGAATTATCATGCAATGTGGCTTATAATTAATTATACTAATAATATTTTATTTTATTTATATTTAATAAGATTGTACATAATTTAATACGCAATTGTATTGTTTTACAACATTACTAAATGATCAAAGTTGGGCAATATTTTGATTTTAGCATTTCACTTCATACAGTCAATTTCTTTTGATAAGTTTTTTTTGTTTCCGTAAAGTGCATGAATAAATGTTTTAAACAAAAACATCTTAATTTAAACACGTACGTGTCGGCATATTCGCTAAAAGTTTAAGTTACGGTAACGTTTACTAGGAAACAGTGATGTCTAGACGTTAAATCTGTTAGATAATAACCAACTAAAACTCACTTAATCAGTTTAAAAGAAGTTTAGCGAGAACTTCAAGTTCTGTAACGAATTTTGAACATATCTCATTCTAATTTTCCTTGTCGTCAGTGTCTTGTGAATAATAAACGCATTTTGTCATTAATATGTTATTTACCTTTTTTCTTCTTTACTTTTATCTGAGTGAGAAAAAAATGGCTTTTGCTTACTTACTTACTGTAAGAGGCTGGGAAATAATCTGTGTACTGATCATTTTTCACGAGCGTAACAAAAGTTAAAAGGCTTCTTTTGACTCTCTTTGGGTGTCGGAGTGTGAATATAATTAAAACTAGAACAATGGGGCAATGTCTTTGGCGAGAACCTCAACAAATACGAACGGGAAAAAAATGACATTAAAGTTATTCATATTATTTTAATTTTTTTTTGTCTTTTCACCTAGTAAATCTATAAAGTTTGTTAGGGAGGATTGCGTACAGCTTAATGGCCATATACCGGGCATACTATATTGTGGTGGTAAATTTTAAAATATGCAAAATACAATTTATGACTACTGAGCTACGCCATGGGACCCTGAAACATGCTGTACGGACATTATCAACGACCTTTTCATGTTTACGATTTCAATAGTACTTTTTAATAAAGACTAAGTACATTACAAATGCATGCCATTTTTCCGATTTAAAATTTTGACATTCGTTAGATATTATTAAATTTAATTGCAAGACATTAAATTAAATAATTTATATTATTTTTCATATAATACAAAATTCTAAAATATAATATTTCGGTACTCAATTTTTTCGAGTGTGTTCGAACGAATCGCATACAAAAATTTCTTTAGTTTCCTTATTTTTTTTAAAATAAAATTTGACATTAAGCTTTTAATACAAAAGAATACTTTTTTGTTATGGAATTCAAAGCTTATAAAAAATACAGAAAAACCAATTATTACAGTATAAATGAAAAGTTTCAAGTACCTACGATTATAAAAATATATTGCTAATAAAATAAGTAATATCATTATTCGTCGTTCATGTTGTCAAAATTTAAACCTTTTTAGCAAAATGATTACAATTTTATTGACATTTAAAGAAAAAAGAAATTGAAAATGTCAAATGTCCATAAATAACTCAAAACGAGTCAAAATATTTTGAAAATGTGATTATGTATATTAAATTATGAAATAAATATTTCAAGTACCTACAGCGGATACAGCTATAAGTTGAATTAGGTACAACAAAATACGAAAATCGTTTGATGAGATTTCGTTAATTTATGAGTCAAATCAAATGTCAAAAAAATGTTACTTCGAATGCTCATTAAAAAATGAATTGTATGATAAACTTTTTGTTTTTAAACATAGAAAAACTTATGAGGAATTATGTGAACATTTTTTATGTATATTTAACTCAAAATAATTTGCAAATGTTCATGCTTTTGACGAAGTTTGATAATATTCTTACTTCAGACGCTTACCAAAGACAAAATCAATTTCGTGAAAAACTGATTTTGCTAAAAAATTTTGGATTTTCTCCATTTTATATTTTGCTTTTACTTTTTCTAGTAGGTATCTTTAGAAAACTACAGGGAATTTTAAATTTTGACCTGCTTAATGCTTCAACTAGATTTACTTTCCTAACGAAGTTGAACATCAAAGCATTATTTTGACTACTTGACTACTTATTGTTTACGCAACCTCCCCCTCTTCCCCCCCCAAAAAACACACACATCATTGCAAAATTAATATATTCATCTTTCCGATCAGAATTTTAAAACAAATCAGCAAAACTGATAGTAATTAAAGGTGATATGATAATTTTTGGAATGAACAAGACTCTAAATATTATGTTTCAAACTTTGTTAAGAAACTACTACAATCAAAACTATTTTTTTTTTTAATAGCCTTAAATAAATTGATATACTAATAGTATAGTATCAAGAAAAAATTAATTCAATAATTTTTAATTATTAATTAAATATCCAGGAAGTCAGTATAATTTATAATACCTAGGTGCCACAATTTTATTTCTACAATATGATAAATTGTTTTAAATACTCTTTACTGACATTGAGACCGACTAATAGAGAAGAAATTGTGCAATATTTTGATTGAATCAAAAATTAAGAAGTAATAATGATTTGATTTTAGATGTGTCACGTGTAGATAAATTAATCAACGACTATTCTTAAGAAGATAAATACACGTTATGATAAAAATGTGGAGGCCATAATATGTGCACCTGTTTAATTAACTTAATTAACTTTTCATAATAGTTTGATTTTTAAAAAAGTGTAAAATATGTAAAAAAAAAATAAAAAAATATGTTCAGTGTAAAATATGTATTGAACACAATTTAATTTATGTTTTATAAAAATACATTGAACAAAGGAAAAACCGAAAGAACAGTTAATCTAAAGTCCTCAAACATTCAAGCGATAACACTTTATACAGTCACGTAAAAATAATAACACTCGAACTACCAGATATTTCAAAAAGAAAAGTACAATCGATTTTATTTGACGGTGAGGCGTTATTGGTTCACCGATTTTTCCGAAAACACAATACAAAGTATAGGCACCTTGCCCAATACTTCTCAGCGGCATTTGCATAATTATATTTTTGTCAGGGACCAACCAAACCAATCCAATCGTATAAAAACCCATTTGACATTTAATGCACTTCTACACACACTCGTTTTAATATTATGTCTACCGCGGTACTTACAGGTATTTGGTAAATACCGAGTTATAAATTATTGTATAGTGTTAGCTTTATAATGATGTTCATTAATGTCTTACCTTGTAGAGCCACAGTCTTCGGAGACCAATTTAAAACATCTGAAACAGGTGAATTACTAAATCAGTTTAAGTTCTATAATAATATAGTATACATACAAAGTAATATAATTATATATAAATAATTGTATACTTATAAATAATACATAAATTACAGGTACATTTAAAAAACATTATGCTACAGATAATGTATTATTATTTGTTCAAAAAAAACTTTACGAACGTGTATACTCAAAATGAATAAAATGAATACACACTAATCCATTGACTTTAACACAGTTGTACATCGAAATGAACGAATTGCATGTTTTCTTCAAGTACACATCGGCACACACAAGTGCCTACCTTACAATTTTAATCTCAGTGTAATTTTAGAACTCGGAGATGTCAGAGCATACTATGACGATACTCTAACTGTATGTAATGAACAATGATCAAAAAGGGATTTTATTTTAAATTTAAAAAAATACGTGGATAGTAAAAGCAAACGTGGTAACAAAAAGTAAAGAATATCTATGTCGGAATTCTGTTAAACATTCAGTTCATAAAAGCATTTTTATTTGTTTTCATTACACCTGAAGCGAGGTACCAATGTAAACCGAAACCAAGATGTACAATCTATTTAAATTAAACCACAATTTGTTCATGGGAAGTGAAATTGAATGTACTTCAAGTAGCTTTTTTCTCAGTTACCTAAATCTGCATTTAGTCGTTATAGAAATGTAAGTTCCATCTGTAGGACGTTTTGGTTCTTAACTAAAATCTTTTACATGATCGTTTTTCATTATCTTAAGACTTACCTACCTAACGCAAAGAAATTTCATACATTTTTACATTTCACACCCATTAAAACCCATTGGGTGATTAATCATTACAAAGTAAGATATCGCAGTTTAATGTTACAAATTGCTCTGCTGAACAGTGTTTTATAATTTGAGATATTATACCAACCGACGATTGATCTCACGATAATTATAGCGATGTTAGTATTATCCGATCCAATGTATTTCTAAAGACATAATTAAAAGCCATGTGCTGATTAAAATTATGTCTTTGCATTCAAAACAACAACGGGACATCTGGCAATGACGTGGGTCGAGATCAATGTTTTCAATTAAAATCCTTCAAAGCTGGTTTTATATTCGCCGCTATCAATATGTTCAAATTTTTTTTCTTTCTTTTTGTATATAGGTACGTGCCAGGCCTTTGGTGGAAAAGAAACATTTTTTTTTTCACTTCTCAATATAATAATAATATATTTATGCAACCTACGAAATCCACGGAAGTTCGTGTTTTTGACGTGTAGTTTCTAGCAAAGAGAACTCAATTATAACACACGCGTATTTTTATGGCATATATACGAAACACGGGCAGCGATATTTGCACAACGATTCGTGCGCTCTCCCATTCGCCAGCCTTCCGGCAACACCATACAATCGTGTTTGGTCGATGACGGGGAAAAAAATAACCGTATCGTAAACATACGTACAATAATATGTGAACTATCGAATGTCAGATATGATACCGAAATGGTTTTAGAATATAATATTATGTCGTCAAGGAAAATGAAACACAATAACACTGTCTTTTGAACGTATTCCAATTACGCAACTCGTCCAATACCACTGACAGTAGGTACCCATTCATTTCAGACACGGCACGCGATGGAATTCGAACATGAATGGGGAATTGCATCGAGTATAGAGCACCTACATAAAGACAACACTATTGCACGACTGTTAAAAATCTACATCTACAGTATAGCTGATAAAGTCGTTTTTAGATCATCAAAATGTACAGACTATATTGTTCGATTTGAATTGCCCGACACCGCGTCTGCAATCCATTTTCAAGCTACAAGAATAGAGGCAGTGGTAATAATTATTATAAATAATTGTCGATTTCGATTAAACTGCGAAATCGCGTGAATGGATTAAAATATTAAACCGCACACCACGCCTGTTTAAAGTTAGTGTGTATGTGTGTTGAAAACTTAAAATTAATATTTTACGAGTGTGAGTATACCTACGACAGACTATCATTGGATGGCATCATAGTGATAATACGTATGTTGAACTATTTCTGGTCGAACAGTCGTACAATAATACAACGACTGTATAATATTGTTGTGCAAACTTACACACGATGATTATAATATTATGTTAATATAATCATTAATCGCACTCGGAAGATGTATTGTATTGTTAAAGTGATGTAATTTCAGCCTTCGGGTTCCTAATAATTTAATACTATCGTTGAAACTCTTTAAGTTATTTTAATTACGAAGTAGTGACTGTGCGTCTTATTGTTTTGATAAAGTTGTATTGAATGATATAGTTTTGAAATAACGAAATAATTCGATAACGACATTCAACAAACTAAAAACTTTTTAACTTTAAATAATATACGCCTTATCCCTATACAGTCCCTACCTACGCAAAGATAACAATGATAATCTGTATTGTATCTTTTCTTTGCGCTAGAAGTTTTAATTTTCACTCCAAAGAATGCATTTAATATTTATTAGTTATTACTTATTACGCTCACAACGCTCACACACGCATTAAAGTGTTAAATATCGTATAAGATTTACTGCAGAAAACGATGGAACGTTTAACACCGTTATCGCTGTGTTGATATCAATATGTGCGGTAGGGTATGGGGTGAGAAGCGCAGCATAATATATTATTATAATAAAATATATAGAAGTATACATCATTTGCTGTTGCAGACGAAAGGGGGCGTGGGGGGGGGAGGTGGGAGAAATGATTAACAAAACAAAATAAACGAATTCATTGTGCTCGATATACGAAAAGAGGTTTTTAAAAAGTAAATGTTATTCAGGTGACTTAAATATAAATATAATATACATACATATATACAGTGTAGTGATTTATTACATAACGGTGTTTTCGCCATTCGGATTATTCATAAAATTCGTATAACTCAATACGCCACGCGCAAACGCCGTGGATGTGTAAAATATAGGTAGTTCGATTTTTGTATTCCGTTCGTGTGTTTTACAATACAATTTGTTGACATTTTCAATTACAAACGATGTTAATACAACATTTTAATGTTGACGGTAAAAAAGATATATTTTTTTCGCATTATTATTATTTGAAACGAATCAAAAACTCACTCATACAGTGACGCAAGTATGGAACGGAAATTGTTGAAAAGGCTTTTGTTTGCTCTGTCCGATTCTCTATTAATTGCATAATAATAATAACATCGCAATAAAACGAGTATATTTTTTTCCCCCAAACAAATACTGATTTGTTTCAATAATGATATAGCGGTCAGTTAAAATACAGAAAAAAGATTATTCATTTTTTTACTATTCCAAAATCAAATATAATCTATAGATTGTCAAAAACTTATATTTTAAGTATTATAATATTGTTGAATATATTTTTAATATTTTTCGTATTAAGTCATGATATTTTCTTCAATAAGATATTGTCTTGGTGGTTTGCATGCTTGACTAATAATTCGTATCTTAGTGAGTTATATATTCCTATGAACGGGACTCAACTTAGCACGACATAAGCTCTGAATAGTTTTATCGCATTCGGAGAAAAGTGCATGATAATAATAATAATAATAATAATGCAAAACTAACTTAGTAGAGCTTACCGAAAAGCAGGACTAGTGTCGAACGCGAGCGGTATTTGTATGGTTTCTTGGATTTTATTCGTTCGTTGTGAAGCAAAAAAAAGATTAAAGAATATTATTTTGATCTTTTCGAGACATTTTTTTAACTACACCACTTCTAACGAAAACAAATATTAGGCGATACATAATTCAACTTAGGTATACTATTTGTCAGTTCACAGGAATATATATTAAACAAATAATCATGGCATACGTTTCCAAAGAAAAATACTCGGCATAAAATAATATGTAAATTTATAGCTGGATAAGTTTTTGAAGTGAAACTATTTTACGGAGAGTATAACGCCGAACAATTTGGAACAAAATACGAGTCAAGGGGCGTTTAATACTGAGTATCATACATGGTCAGACACGAAGAATTTAAAGCGCTAATGTATTTTCCTCTAAATGGTCACTCTGATTAATTATTGTTAATGTTGATCCAATAACGTGAATATTTGCTGAAAGCGATTAAATAAGACAGTAACATCAGCGTTTATTTATAAAACGGTATTAATACACATAATATTATAGATGGATATGTAAAAAATATATATTTAATAGTATTGACTATTTAGATATTTAATAATAATTATGCAATAATCATGCATATAACAATAACTATAAATACGAAACGGTTGAAGGTTGTAATTTTATCAGTTATTTTGGTTAGCATAAACCGATAATTACTGTTGTGTCTTTAGAATTAGAAAATCAAATATAAAGAACAAAATAATAAGTAAAATAAATAAATTGAACAAATAAAAAGAATCAAACAATTAATACATTTCACTTAAACTCAACTTAAACTAAAATCCTATCGTCAGTTCGTGACAAGTTCTTGCTGCGAGATTGTTCGTTTTCAGAAAAGCTCAGGTATCAATAAAAACTGCGAAAGAATTTTCACTTAATCCGTGCGTACTTACACACACACATTTTATTATTACGATTGCTCAACACAAAAAAAATGTGCCCAGGTACTCGATTTGTTTTTCGATTTTACAATATAAGGAAAAAAAACGTCGATCGGTTAAAACGCCGTTCGGGACGTTTTCTTTTAAATTGTCCGGTATGTGCATGGGTAAGCCAACGCGTTTGCACGACTGATAAGTATATATATTGACGACGGAGAGAGCATACGTATTGGAGCGAAAGCTCCGTTTGGGCGGGGTCGGCGGTGACGGTGGGCGAGAGCGGACGGGTGAGTTATATAAAGGACCAGCAGCCTGTAAGATTACGTATAGAGTTTCCCTGTTACGGAAGTAATACCGTTAAATAGGATACTGTGTAGGATTTACTTATCGGCATGTTTAGACGATGACCGATTGACGGTGTAATTTATCCGCAGACTTCGCCGCCATTTTTCCCCCATCTCCTCGGGCCGT